TTTAGCAGTGGTGTCCACTGCAGAAAAGAAATGAAATGAAATGAACTAGTCTGTAATGAAAGTTTTCTATCATGTACAGGCAGGAAAGGAGGACATTTCATGGGGATTTCCAGGGTAGAATTCATTTTTGCCTCTGTGACTCTTGATCTGATCCAAGCATTATTTTTTTTTCAAAATCTTTAAAAATCTCTACCAGTGAATAAAAGTTCCTATTATAAAATATATCTAATCCTTCTTCTTCAGACAGCACAGAGTACTAGAGAAAAAAATCACCTTGTTTGCAAAAATGGAAAGTCATTTTACTTTTCATAAACCCCTCTTTGGCATTTCCGTGTCTCTCTCATCCCATAGATCACCTTAACCCTGTCCTCCAGCCAATAGCATCCCAAAGCCATATCAGCTCAGGAGTCCTGGCATCACAGAAGAGGAGGAGGCATGAGGTGTCTTCAAATTAGGGCTTGTTTCTGAACAGGTTTGCTCCAGTTGCTTATTTTAAGGAAAAAAAACCCAAGTCTCTACTCCTAAGCACTCATTTTGTGAAACCAAGAGGATGGCTTTATCACAGTGGGGATCCCTGAGAGAAGGATGGTATGAGGGGTGACCTCAGCCCCAGGCCCAGAAGTTCCAGTGATTGGGGTGCCCATTCTTCCAGGTGGCCAGGATATAGGCGTGGAAAGTTGACAGGTTATACTGAGAATGTTAAGACCCCAGGGCTGCTGGAAGCCCTGTAGGTAGTAGCATACAGCTGTGGGTTGGGTGGTGGGTTTCAGGACATCTCGCATGAGCTTTGCCTGTTAGATTGAGAGGAGCCCAATTGTAAGGGACAGAACATGATTTAGTGGTCTTTACTATTTGGTACTAAAATTGCCATTGTTAAGTTCTATTGCTTGGGACCAACACCAGCCTTTTGGTTTTAAAAAGCACATGTCTACCTTTATAGAAAAGTTAGACTTTTACATATATTTGCTCAGAGGTGAGGACTCTCAGGCCCCCTGGGACTTATGCTGTTGCCAGCCACCATATCCAGCAGCAGGGGACATCCTGAGAGTGCCCGTCCTTCCACTACACTTCTGGATTCTTCCCCATCGCGAGGCAGTGAGTCCTGTGTGCAGTTATCACTTTCCAAAGAGATTTTCTCTGCAGTATGAACCTTCCTGGTCTCAGAGGGTCACCTGTCTCCAAGCATTTTCCATGGGGCAGGGGGGTAGTTCCTGGGAATGCCTCTGGTGAAAGAGGGCTGTGCCTCTGGGAATGAGAGGGTCCAAGAACTCTGATATCTGGAACGTTCTCCTCCAGAGAACTCCTGGGAATATGAATGGTGTGTCTTCTCTAAGCTAAGGCTTCTCCTTCCGGCTGCAGCTGAAGATTGCTAAGGCCGTATGGAGTGGGGGTGATGACCTGAGACCTGAGCGTGAGTCCCAACCCCAGCTCTGCCACTCACTACCCGGCAACCTCAAGTCCTCAACTTATCCTTGCTGAGCCTCTGTTTCCTCATAGACACCAGCCCCTACCGCTTACTGTTATTCCAGAGATCAATGAGTTGATATATTTAAAACCCTTAGGTGATAACTGGCTCAGAATAAGTAGCTGACAGGTTTTACCAATTGGTTTTATCAGTTTAGGTCCTGGGGATTGAACCCAGGATCTTGCCTATGCTCAGCACATACTCCATCACTGAGCTATGTTCCCAGCTAAGAAGTTGACAATGTGGGTCCAAGTCTAGGTCCTACCCTTCATCAGCTATGGGACATCAGATGAGTGACTTTAACCTCACTGTGCCCCAATTTTCGAACCTATAATATGTGTGGTGGAAAGTATCTACTCCTCATATGGTGGTTGGGCAGGCAACAGGTGATAGATCTGGCACACAGACAGCATCTGAAACACTAAGCCCTATACATGTTAAGATGAAGATGCCCTCACTTTAATTGTTGGTGTTGTTTTTAATTATCATGCACAGCTATCTAATCTGTAATGAAGCATAGATTGGGGGGGGGTGGTCAGAGGCTGTCCCTCATTAGTACTCCAGGAAAGCTTCCTCCAGGCCACTTCTCAGACAAGGGTGTGGTGAAAAGCCCACTTCTCTGCTGTATTCACATGAGCTCTTCCCAGTTCTTCTGATGGTCCATCTCAGGACTAAATAGCCACAGGGGTTTGAAATGCTCATCACCTGAAGCAGGTGTTGCAGAAGACACGCGAGGGCTTGCTCACTCAACTCTCATTCCCAGACAGTCTCCCCTCCTTCATGGAAAACCACTTAGCCTCCAGCCAACACTAAAATCTCCAAGGTCTTTCAATATTCAGCTGAACATTCAGATTCAGGAGTTCTCTAATATCCATCCAGTCATGGAGCCATTTACCCAGAGGGAATAAGACAGAAGGCAACTGGCCTCTAATCTCTTCTATAGGAATCTATACAGAAGCCCATGTAATGTCCACACGGCTAATCTCAATGGATCCCTGGATGGTGGCTATGAGGATTCAAAAGCCCATCAAGAAGATGTGTGAAAATCATCCAGTTTTAGAGCTTCATATTCTCAGAAGCCAATATCCTTTATAATCACTCTCTGATGTAGCTTCCAGGATACCCTCAAAGGGACATGCCTGCCACTGTGGGAAGCCCAAATCTCTGACACTTCTTTAGTATTAAATTCCCCCCTTAAAAATACAGTCTACCAATCAGAGTCATCATTGCTTCCTAGTGACATAGTTAAAAAATTACCTCCCAGGTTACTTGGGGAGCAGGCTAAAAAAAATATGGAAAGTCAGATTATCGTGCCAAAAAAAAATCATTCATTCTTTATCTATAGTAAATCTTTGATTTCTTAATACAAAGGGGAAGACCATACAGCTGTTTTGTACCTTTGGCCTTCCCTCTTCTTCCTAGCTGGATCAGGAAATAACAGCTGTAGCTATCCAGACATTGTGTTATGATGAGGTGACAAGCTTAAGGACAAGTCCAGATGAAGCAGAAATGCTAATCCTGACATCATAAAGCCACTGAACGAGCAGCCACTCACCTATAGACTTCTTTGTGCCAGACACATAACTCCCTGCTTATTCAAGCTAAGATTGGGTGTTTTGATACTTGGTGCCCTAATGCATTCCTAACTGGTCAAGGTGCTTAACTTCAGGATGTCCTTTCACATTCTAGGATCTTATATCATCCTATGATGCCCTCTTCCTATTGCTAAGTAGGATTTGGGTCCATTGCTGAATATGGATTTTCTAACGTAAAGGGATGTAGTTTTCCTTAAGGTCACTTTAGAGCTTCTCTCCCACTGGAACAATTCTAAATTAAGATTGTTCCCTTTGGTGTGAGCTGGTCATAAGCAATTTTAGACAGTGTGAATGAATCTGAAGCATCCAGCCTTGTTTTGATTTGCTCTGGAAGAGTCTAAGGTGGTCCAGAGAAATGAGTCTTCCAGAATGCTTAGAAGCTAGAGACAGGCATCATAGGCATTAACACTGTTTCCAGATGGCTCTCTACTCCTCTCTCTTGCAGGTATAATACTGGTTTAGAAGCCAGAAAAGTTTTATGTCCAAATCATCTTCCCAGACAGTTTGAAGGGGTTCTTTCCAAATGATGTCATTATTCATTGAAAAAAAAAAAACTTGTTAGATTCATAGACCTAACTCCACTAGAGCAGCAGGGCTGGCGCACACCCACCCTGGCTCCTGACCACTGGGGAAAACGGTGCAGACATGTGCTGCTTATGAGATGTTGCCTGCTATAAATCAGGAACCAAATCAAACCCTACTGCAGGGAGACACAGGGATATGGGGTCTCTTCCTGCCGGTTGTTAGGTCCTGGAAAACTGTAACTAACCAGTTGACCTGGAACTCTCATAACCTCTTATGACTTGATGAAGATGAGTTCGAGCTATTTGGAACCAAGAAAAACGTACCTAAAAAACACATGTACATTGCTAGACATTTGAGCCTGTTTGCACTGATCAAAATGGAGTCGAGTCTCTTTGGATGCCAAGTATTGATTCTGACGACTTAAAACCGATTTTCATCCAATTTGAGCAATTTAGCCAGTCATAATACGAAAAAATTGGTTTGAATTGATTGATTCATTTTAAACTAGTTAGAACTGGTTGAACCTGGTTCAAACAAATCCTTTAAAGGGTAATTTGGGGAGTGGGTGTGTTCAGTTTCCCAGGCTTTAGTTGTTTACTAAAAAAGAAGAGGGGAAAAGTTTTAAAGTCATTAATTTTGAAAACCAATTACTTGACTCCCATAAATATTCATATGAATTAATTACCAGCTTATTGAAAGAATTAATAAAATCACACTGCTTATTATAACACATTAGCAGGGGCAGGAGACCTCCTCCTGGTCCAGAGAAAGATCCTACTTAAGAGGCTCTTTGCTCTGATGTTGGAGCACTAGAAGCAACCCACAGGAGCTCCCAAAAGGAGGCTGAGGGGACACCTGATGCACTGCAGCCCACACAAAGGCAGATTTATCAACAGCCAAGCAGGTGTCCCCTACACACACACACACAAAAAAAAAGTGACACAAAATAGATCAATCAGTTTTGTTCTTCACTGAATGTGAACATGTACAATTAGCCTCCTCAAAAACACAAGGGTGGGGAAAGGGAAATGAAGGGTTTAAAAAAAGAACAACAGCTTGGGTTTGGAAGCCATTACATCCACCCTGATCAAAAGCATCAGTTCATAATTAGCTGCTTATACAGACACATTTCAATCTATTAATTCAGGCATTGGTGTTATCTGTGATACAATTAATGAGGGTATAATTACATGAATGGTCTACTGTTCCTTGCATCAAAGCAGGCAAATGGGCTGGACCTCCCTTCCCCACTCAATGAGAGTTTCTGCAGCCCTCAAAGAACCAAATGCTCAAGCACCTTGCTGGAAAAGGCGCTTTCTAGACAAGCTCTGCAGGAGAAAAGCACGGACAAAAGCACCATTTGTTTTGACATAAAATGCAACTGCCCCTGAGAGATAAAAGTCAAAGTCACTTACCAGCCACAAAACTTGGAAATGATGCCACCTTCTTTGTCTGTTAGGAAATAGGAAAAAAATGAGACATACACTAGTTGCAAACAGATGGTCCATAGAAACTAGGCTAAGATGTGTACCATCCCAGGAAAAGCCTAACCCCATGAGCGGCTGTGTTCCCAAGAAGTCAGCTCTGTGTAGAAAGCTTGTCTCATGCAGGCAGCATGATGCTTGGCAGAGACACTAAAGCACACCCTCTAAAACTCAGGGACCCTCAGATTAGCATGAAACAGCTAGAAGGGAGCCCAGAAACCATACAACCCAATGGCTCTCCAACTGATGGGCATATGAACTTTCTGAGCATGTCTTTAAAAAGCAAGATAATAGAGAATGGATGCCACTCCATGGTGGGGCATAGTTATTTCATCAAATCTAGAACATCTCATATAAATTATGCTACTCAAAGAGGGGAGATAATTTGCTTAAGAGCTCATTTTAATAACCTCCAATATTGCAGGGCTACTTTATATGGAATAATTTTTTAAACCATGTTGTTTGAATTAGAACCATGGTTCTCAACCAGGATGACTTTTCTCCCCCAGGGACATTTGTCAATGGCTGGAGACATTTTTAGTTGTCAAAACTGGGCTAGTGAGTAGAAGCTACTGGCATCTAGAGCATAGAGGTCAGTGATGCTTTTAAAAATCCTACAGTGGCCCAAAACTACCTCTAAAAGCCAATTAATGGTACCACTAGTGCAAAACACAGATTTCAACATGTATATGGAACAGGGTAGAATGGGTTCCTATAAGATCTGAGAGCATCAATGATCCCACACACACCATCAGCAGCACTCGAACACTTTGTGGTGTGACTGCAAATCATCAAGGAAGTCCCTTTCTTCTCTTCTCCCAGGCCAGAGCACCCTTACTTCTTCCTACCCAAGTTTGCTAGACCTGAAAACCCTCTCCCCAGGTACTGGGTGAGACAAGAAATTTACCGAGAGTGAGTTAACTGTGATGGATGGGGTCAGCAACTCCATCATGAGGACCCAGCCTCAGAACTCTCACCCTTGGAAAAAATTACCTCTGGGATGTTGTTATTGTCAATGGGTCCGTTGAGATCAGAGCGCTGCTGCTTCCTTGGCTGCTCCAAACCATTGCATACCTAGAAACCAGGAAGTTAGAAATTGTAAAGTTAAAGAATTTTATGTTAGAGAAATGAACCAGGATATAAAACGTGAGTATTGGATGGGATTCAATTTTACAAAAATGCATGCATTTGCAGGTATGCAGTTGTATATGTGTACGAGTGTGTACGTGCCTACATTCACCTTCAATTAAAGTGTAATGCAGTTGATATGCATGCTTTCTACTTCTCAAAAGTTTTTAAAATTGTTTTAAAATTTTATGGTTATTGTTATTTTGATTGTAATAAAATACATATCACATTATTCACCACTGAACCATTTTTAAGTGTATGATTGAAGGGCTATTGAGTATATTCACACTGTTGTGCAAACATCTCCAACATACATTTCCAGGACTCATTTCACCTTACAGAATGAAAACTCTGTGCCCAATAAACAACACTTCCCCATGCCCCTCTCCCCTTATTCCTGGCAATCACCACTCTACTTTCTGTCCCTCTGAATTTCACTACTCCAAGTACCTCCGAAAAATGGGATCATATGGTGTTTATCCCTTTGTGACTAGCTTATGTCATTTAGCATGTTGCCCTCAAGGTTCATTCATACTGGGGCTGAAGTTGTGGCTCAGTGTTAGAATGCTTGCCTGGAATGTGTGAGGCACTGGGTTTAATACTCAGCATCCCATATAATAAATAAAATAAAGGTCCATTGATAACTAAAAAAATATAATAAAATAAATTCATCTATATTATATCAGGTGTCATAATTTCCTCCCTTCTTAAGGCTGCATAATATTCCATGATGTATATGTACCAAACTTTGTTTATATACTCATCCATCAATAGATGCTTGAATTGTTTCCACCCCTTGGCTACTGTGAATGATACTGCTATGAACACAGGCATGAAAATGTCATTGCAATCTTGCTTTCAATTCTTTTGGATATATAAACACAAGTGGAATCACTGGATCACATTGAAATTTTTTTTAAATTTTTTGAGAAATGCCCATACTTCACACATTCACACAAACAATGCCAAAGGGTTAATATCATATTTTTTAAAAAACCCTAAATTATTGGATGCTACCTTACTGAGGGCTAAAGGGAACTACCCATCTCCAAGAAAACTTCCAAAGAAACCAGCTTGCCAATCAGCAAATGAAACTGGGTTCATGATACCCCTTTTACAAATGCCAAAGCTGGGGGTGGCATCTAATTTTTCAGGCAAAGGGAGGGCCAAAGACTCTATCCAGCTCTAGGGAGGAAGCCACGTGAGACTGTGGCTCCCCACAAGATTAGGAACAGGCCAGCCACTGCGCCTTTGTGAGACTTCAGGACAAGGCTCATGGGTAGGCCCGGGGCCACTGGCTGGGTGTCTGCACCCCCACGTTGCACCCATGGAACTCTCTGGTGCTGGGCCACTGTATGGCTCGCTCTCCCTAGGCTTGACCTCGTTCATGATAGCATTTCCTCTAACTCCCTCCCGAGTGAGCGCTGCTCATCACCATGACAACCACATCTCATGATAAACAGCCAGGGCTGATTTTGAAAGAGGCAGAGGGTGGGCTTGTGATGTTTCTCCTTGGGAAAGCCCATCTGGTGCTCTGATTTTCATATTAGTGGGCTGAAAGGGAGGGCTGGCAGCACAGGATGCAGAACCTGAAATTCACATGGTTCAAGGCCCAATGTGGATTTGGGGCTCCTGGCTTCTTAAGTGAAAAATGTTATTTAAATCCTGTTGTGCCTTTCCCCAAGTATAGCAGCCAGCCACACCTCAAAATAAGATACCAGCCAGGATTCTCTCAACCCCCGCCCATACCCAACAGGGACAAGAAGGTCCCATCCCTTACTAAGTAACTACCACGGGGTGTTCTCAATGCCAGTAGCTGGAACCTGTATCTGCCACCCACCCAGAGAACACGGTGAGGTAAAGCAAATGAAGTGAAATATGCTCTTGGGGTGGGGAAACCCCTCCTGTGGAGATGGGAGGAGAGAAAATTAATATTCAGGATGGCATGGACTGGTGATCACCTGCTAGAATCCAGGGACAGCTGTCCAGGGCAGAGATAAATGCCCTTAATAAAAATATACTAATGTGAATAAATCATTCTCATAAATATCTTGGCTCCCGTTAGTGCAAACTAAAGGTTGGGGTTTTTTTTTTTTTTCAAAGTGTCAATTTTGATTTGTCTGCTTGATTAAACTGAAAACACAGCAATATAACCTGCATTACTTTGGATGAACTAACAGCAAACTAGCACCCACCCACTCAACTCATGCCATCTGTAATAAAAGTAGAATGTTTCCAAGCATTCTCCTGAATTACAAGCATGTTTGCAGCTCAAGTTAGGGACAAAGAACATCAGCTCAAAGCCAGCTCACAGTGAGTCCACTAGACTGTCACATCTACCCCCCTCAAACATGACTCCGTGACAGAGAACCCCCAGGGCTAATGAATGGCTCAGTTAGCTGATGGCCTTCTCTGGGAATCAGTTCAAATTCCCTGTTTTCAAGAGTCGGTCATCCCTGCTCATCTGGTCCGCCAACAAAGACATCTTCCTCCATCCAACCTGGCTGCCCAATGAGAGATCCGAGGACAGACGGGCTGAGAGCATTAAACCCCAGGGTCAGCTTCAAGGTCCAACTCAGATCACGGACATCTTCTTTCAAAAGTCCTTGAATCTACCTCCTGTCACAGATGTGCCTCAGAAAAAAATTACAACCCTTGTTCTTTCCTTCTGTTCCTCTTACAATTCAGGTCACTCCTGTGATATTTATCTTGAGAACAGGAGCTTGGGTAAAGTATTTATTCTTTTAATAGTTACTCCCACGAGGGTGATCGTTTTCTCAAAGCAGAGCCATGGCTTAAAAGTATCATGACAAAAGACATTAGGGACACCAGCTGGTCAGTCAGTCTGTCCTTTAAGATCCCTAAGCAGGCCTGAGAATGGGAGAGAAGGAGGGAGGGAGGGAGGGAAGAGACACCTCTCCTGAACCCCTGTGCCCACAATATTTCATAGAATACATCTATACCAAAACTTATTCATTATTTTTCTGAAATATAATTGTTATCCATTTTTTTTAATCATGGTAAAATGTGCATAGCAGAAGTTTTACCCTCTTAAGTTCTCCCTCTATTTTTTTTTTTCCCATGCTGGGATAGAACTCAGGTTGTCAAACGTCCTAGTTGTACCACTGAGCTACACCCCTAACCCCCTCTTAATTACTTTTAAGTGTACAGCTCAACGATGTTAACTACATTTATAATGTTGGGCAACTATCACCACCATCCATCTCTTCAACTTTTTGTCTTATAAAACGAAAACTCTATACCCATCTGAAAATCTGATTCAACTGGGCATCTGTACTGTTATTTGCTAACCCTGGCAGCCTTAGGCGGGGACTGACAGGCTGGTTCTTCCACTTAGGCCTGGCTTTGTTCTCTGTGTCTGGCCTGCTGAGCTATCTCCTCCCCCACCGACCATTTGGACCACCTGGATATATCTACTTATCATCATTCACTCTCTTTACAGAGCCCTGAAAAGGGGAGGCACTGAATGTTTTGTTCCCAGCCCAGCATTCTGGAGCAGAATTGTATTTTTCCAAACTCACCTCTGCAATCCAACCCCTTATCAAGCACCTTCCAAAGACAGCCAGCCCCAGCAAGTACTTGTCGTGCAGACGGCACTGTGCAAAGCATCTCTTATTAAGGGCAGGAAGATGTGTACAACAATGGCCCTGACCTGGCACGCTTCACGAGCCCACACGGAGACAGAAATCAGCACTCCTGCCAGCTTTAAACCCCCCACGGGATAAAACAAGGTATAAACAAGTACACATGTGAACAAAAGAGATCAGGCCTGAGAGATGAAGAGCCCAGAGATCACCCAATCAAGGTTTTTTCTTGTTGTCGTTGTTTTCATTTTGGAGTAACCAGTATGTTTGGTGGGCATGAAAACTGTCCTGCCATTGTAGAAAACTGTCTGTAATTCCTAAAAGAGGAATTGTTTAATGCTAAATGACCATATAACCCAGTAATTCCACTCCTAGCTATGTACTCCCCAAAGCTGAAAACAAACATCTACTCAAAAAACTTGTATACACATGCTCGTAACAGCACTAATCACATTAGTCAAAAGTAGAAACGACCCAAATGTCCAGCAGCAGGTGAAAGGAAGAACATAATATGGTCTATCCATCCTATGGGGTATCATTCAGCGCCCCACAAGGAATGAAGTATCGACACTCACTACAACATGGATGAACTGGAAAACCTGTTAAGTGAAAGAAGCCAGACTCAAAAGGCTACAGATTATTATTATTATTATTATTATTATTACTGAATTGATATGACATACAACAAATAGGCAAATCCCAAGAGAGGATGGGAACACTAGGGAGTGACTGCTTAACAGAAAATGAAACTTCTTTTGGAGTGATGAAAACACTCTGGAAGTAGACAGTGGTGGCGCTTGCACAGCACGGTACTAAAGGTCATTGAATCGTTCACTATATTTAAAATATTTACAATAACTAATTTTGTGTTATGTATCTATTACTACAATTTTTAAAATATGGGGGTCAGCAGGTATAGCTCCATGGTACAGCAGATGTGTAGCATGTGCAAGGCCTTAGGTTCGATTCCCAGCTCTGTAAAAAATAAAATGAAAAATAATAATCTCCATAATCCTTCTGCCAATGGATCTATTAGCTGACTGCAAGTACTTGCAATTTTTCCATCTGGCTAATCTAAAAGCAAGAAAGCCCATGTACGTGGAGTTGAATGACAACAACCCACCAGAGCTAAAAAGCAATCACTTGGCTTTATTGGCAGCTCGAGCCTGTGGTTCTCCTGAGGGTCTGACCTGGGACATCTTCTGAATCCCCCTAGCTGCCCCTCACTTATCTTTGAGCCCTGTACACACATTCTGAGAAAACTAGCTTGACATATGAAAAAGGAATGAAACAAAGGTGCCCCAGTCAAAAGGAAAGTAAATGTCCAGGTACTAAGTCAAT